ACGGAACATTTCAAGGCTGAAGAGGCCTGAAATCAAGTATCTTGATTCCTGATACTTGGGTTGTAATATGGTTTGCTAAGAACGTTTACAAATTATGTCTGCCAGGTGCTAAATCTGCCAGATCAATTTTAATTTAAATTTCCAACATGCTGCAGTACAGAGCTGTGACACAATAAAAATGTGTATTATTATTGTTGTCACTATGCAATCATTAATTTCATCTGACTATCCATGCCTCAGTGTAATAAACCATTAGCAAGTATGAAGTCTGGCTGTTCTGAATCTGGACAGAAGTCCCCTTTATTTACAGCTAAGCTATAAAGATGTTGTTATGCTCATATATGTACATCAGACTTCTCTATCTGAATTCTACTTTTCTGTGGGCCCATACGGTGTTACTAGGCACACAATAAAAGTGTTTGTTTCCTGTTGAAAACAGCAGCTTTCATTAATAATCTACAAATTGGGCCTGGCATGGTGGCTCACCAGCACTTCGGGAGGCTGAGGTGTGAGGATCACTTGAACCCAGAAGTTTGACACCAGGCTGGGCAACATGGTAAAACTTTGTCTACCACAATTACAAAAATTAGCCAGGCGTGGTGACATGCACCTGTAGGTAGGTTGCAGTAAGCTGAGACTGCACCACACTCCAGCCTGGGGAACCTGAGCCAGACCCTGTCTCAATAATCATCATCATCATCATCTACAAGTTGATTAGATTATTTCCAAAGGGACCAACAGAGACACCTATGCAAATCATGCATGGTATGCACAATTACATATACGAAATCAGTACTCTGTAGAGTTGCTTATCTCCTCATTTTATCACCTAAGTGATCCTATTACTCTACTTTTTTTTTTTTTTTGTAAATCACTGTTATTTCAACTCAACATCCCCCACCTAGCTTGGAGACAATATTCCTGAAAGTGCTCCTCCACGTGAATCTAACTGATACACAAACACTTCATTACCTCAACAGGGATAATAAATCCAGGGGTCCAAACAGTGATTGTCTTTACATACAAGGGAAGACAGTTCCACAGTCTCATCTACAGCATTCACCTTGGCACAATTCAAACAAGCAGTCAGAGGAGTGGGGAGAGTGGGGAGAATTTGGAATTTTAGACAGTTACAAATCTAATCCCTCATAAAATATGCCCAGCCACACAGACAATGGGTGAAACAACCACTTTCACATCTGGAGCACTTTTGATGTATATCACCAAATAATAAGATAAAGCGGCAGCCCTAAGATATCACCACCTACTTCTAACTACCACCTTATTGAAGTGCTCTCTCAACTGTGAAGAAGGCTTAATGCAAGTATCTTTTTTCCTCCATATTTACATTAAAGAATGTAAATGGTCCGAACCAAGTTTGTTATGCCTGTCTGAATCACCCTCAATGTAGGCAATTTCTGATTTATGAGCTTAGAGCTGATTAGGTAACCTCTGGCGGCATATCCAATTTTTTTTTATTGCCTAAACTTTGGACCATTTCTGATCATTATAGCCTAATCAGAGGTCAAGAGGGAAGAAGGGACTGTGGCTGAAGGTTTGGTGGTGATATAAAAAGGAACTACCCATTCAAGCATTTGTATAGATTTTTATCACCTCAGTGATCCCATTACTCATTAATAGAGACAATCACAAATGTTCAGGCTTGCCTGGTGCCTTCAAGCCGTCAGACTCATCACATAGCTGAAACTGCATAAAATTAAGCCTTGGACTACCTCTCCTGAATCACTCATCCTGACACCTGAACTCTGCTTCCCATGTGTACCTAACTGTCCCAGCATCGAACTTCATTACCCACTCCTCCCTCCATTGACTCACCTTGTTACTGAAGCTGAGACTTGGAATCCCCTAACTACTGTTTAGAGGCTCCCATGCCTACAAGGTCATCAAACATAGCAAGAAAACATGTCACCCAGCCCAGGCCAGGCCTCAGCATCTTATGCCTCTGTTTCCCACATTCATAGTATTAGAAAGGCACATGTATATATCAGGAGGTTCCTGTGAAACTGAGGTATAATGGTTGACTTGAGAACTTTAAACATCAGAGTACCGGAGTAGTTCTTATTTTACTTGTGATCTCTTAGACATGACTCAGCATTTTTATTCCATATATTAGGACCTTGAAAAACAGCTTAACTTTCCAGATATAAGTGACACAGTGAAAGCCGTAGCCCTTGCAAGAATTAATCCTAATTTGCACCATTTCGGACCATGTCTACTGTATCCTTCAGTGTCTTCTATGAAGTGTTCTATGTGATACATTCTATTACGAATTGATTAACAGAGATAATATTCCTCTCTAAGGAGTAGTAGCCTTTGGCCATGAGATAATAATTAAATATTCCTTTTTTTTTTTTTTCCTTTTGATCTTGTCTGCCAGGAATCTTAGAGCTAAATTACATGCTCATACTCAGAAAACTTCTTGGGCTATGTGAAGGTGATAACTTGTCACGTTCTCCTTTCATGACCTTTATTTTGTTTTTATTTTATCAGCCCTATTGTAAATCTACCTTTTATTGTAAACCATACCACATTCTTTGAGAAAGTGGTTATTAGCTTAGTTTTTAAAAGTAACCTCAGCCCATGAACAATGTTCAAAAGTAACTCCACATCCCAGATATCATGCACAAAATGAACTCATCGACCCAAGAGAAAAAAAGAAGAAAATTATGAATATAAAAGTTTCTAATTCAATAGAATCATTTATATTATGTAAATTATTTAGATGACCATATTGGATGCTAACCTCGTCCAAGGGTGATGCAATAAAGGCTTATTCTATAATATTGAGAATTTTTCAAAGACTTACTAAGATTATTTAAACATAACTAGAAATACCTTAAAAACCAAAGTTTACACCATGAAAGGCCATCAGAAATGGTTCAGTGGGTCTGCTCAAATTATTGTATAATTATCTGTTACACATGCTTTTCCCCTCCATGTCTTTTACTGATTTACATTAGTTCTCCGGACTTGAACTTTTCAGTTTCAGTGACACTTTACACGAGAAAACTAATTATAATAGGATAAAAATCCCTCACAAAAGAAGTATGTAAAAACCAGCCACTATTTATTGTATACATAATTATCTTCTCTTTCAGCCCAGGATGTAGTCTTGACTCTTGTGTAACTGAAATCTGTATGGGATTGGCATCTGATTTACAGCAGATGACCCGGCACCACATGAATATAATTTACTACGCCATGTGTCTCCTGCCACCTAAATCAATAGCTTGAATATAGAGACATCTCAATTAGTGCAAGGAGAGCAAGATCTGCCTCCTCCTATCCTGTGCCATTAAAACAACCAATATTACCAAGCAGTGCTTATTTTAAATTCACTTTGGAGGGGTGGATCTATTATTTTAAGTTGGTTAGGAGACACAAAGGGAGCGTTGCCATCAAACTGAATGAAAAATCGAGCATAAGGTGATATAAGTAATAGCCTATGAGGGGTGGGGACATGCATTTATTAAAGTATTGACTGGTGCATTTCTACAGCACCTGTGTATTATCATGGGCTTCAGGTGTTGAACAGGGTGTTAAATTATAATGCTGACCACACAGGAGTCATCCATCCTTCTTGTCCTGTTCCTCCACGAACCCCTACACCAAAGTTGAAGCACATATATAGTATTGGCCATAATGAGGTAAATTATCTGGAGGCTCAACTGTGTTTGTTCTCTCCCTGCAACACATCTAAAAATTAAGCTGTCATTATAAAAACTTCATAATGACAAAGCTATCTTATCTATCACCGGTCACAGTGTTCTCCAAATCCCAGTGAAAAGTTAAAGACAAGACCCACGCAGTTTGTTCATGAGGATTTTAGGGCAACTTCTCAAACATGGATACTGCCTGGGATAATCTCAGGAGAGAAAATTGAAACAAATTATTTTCCTGATTTTATAAATGGTGAAGTATAGAAATGAACACAGATTGTCCTTCACAAGGTGCCGATATCTGGTCCCAGGGCTGTAAAAGCACAATTTTCTGGGGGATTCCTCCCATGGAATTGAAGGGACTTTAACATAATAGTTTGAACCATCAACTGCCCCCATATTAACTATAATTGGAAACTGAAAGATTCCAACTGCTAGAATTAAATCTAGGAACTACTTTTTCAGAATCTTCCTTTCAAATTCTAGTGATCTGTTTCTCTCTCTCTCTCTCTCTCTCTCTCTCTCTCTCCCTTTTTTTTTTTTTTGGTAACAGAATCTCGCTTTGTTGCCTAGGCTGGAGTGCAGTGGCTCAATCTCGGCTCACTGCAAACTCCACCACCTGGGTCCAAGTGATTCTCCTGCCTCAGCCTCCCGAGTTGCTGGGATTACAGGCACCTGCCACCACGCCTGGCTAATTTTTGTATTTTTAGTAGAGATGGGGCTTTGCCATGTTGGCCAGGCTAGTCTTGAACTCCTGACCTCAAGTGATCGGCCCACCTCGGCCTTCCAAAGTCCTGGAATTACAGGTGTGAGCCACTGAGCCTGGCCAAATTCAAGTGTTCTAAGTGATATCTTTTTAAGGACAGGAACTCACTGATTTTTTTTTTTTTTTTGGTAACTCCTTAGTGTTTCCTCTAAGCAAAGAAGAAGAGCTTATTGAATTGTTAGATTCACATACCCTCTCTTTGTCTTAAAATAGGATTGCGACGACCAGTGAAATCTCATGCTCTTGGCTGGCCTTTTAAAGGAGAAGCCTACTGGCTGCAAAGTCACCACAACTCAATTGAAGACCCTTAGGGAAGCCATCAGGAAAGAAAAGACAACCAGTCTCAATAAAGATCATGTCAGGTGCAAATGGATGGTTTCAGAAAATTGGTCTGGATGCGATAGGATGCTTTAGTCAGAACAGAAGGTCTAAATGGTTGGTAAATTGCTCATCAAACACAACAGAAGCTTACACAATGGACATTCAATCCAAGGTGTTATGGGTGCAGAGAGAGATGCACCTCAGGAAGCAATCTGCTCAGTTAAGAACAATACCTGGAGAACTGCTGCTGCAAGCCACGCATCTGAATTCTGTTGCGCTCAGACTCTAGGGTCACCTCCTGCAACCGCTTCTCGCTTTGAAGGCGTAAGTGTCTCTCCTCTTCCAGTTCATGTATCAGCTTCTCATGCTATAAAAGGCACAAAGGGAATGACTTTTAGGAAAGTGTTTATGACAAAAATAAGAAATAGCTGGTTATCAAGTGATAACTTGAGCTTTATATATATATGAATTTCATCCTTCAAACAACCCCACGAAGTAGGTCCTGTTCTTAATCTCTTGTTATAGACAAAGAAACCAATGATCAGAGATACCTAAGTAATTTGTGCAAGGTCACATAAACCAGAAGGTAATAGATTTTGAGTCCCAGATGACTAAATTCTAACACTTGAATAATTTCCACTAACCCAGAGAGCACGCTGTGAAGAACTGTGACCCAAAAATACTGTCGAATGCACAGTAAGTCAGATAATAATTAGTAAGAATATTACCTGTTCAGAATTATTTCATCTCTTCCATCTCTGGTATATCCTTGAAAGAGAACATTACTGTTTTTATAGAAGGATTGAAAATTTCAAGGTAATTAGAACGTGAAGCTGATGAGAGTGAGGCTCAAGAACTGTTTTTCATTTTGTCCAGTTAGGTCTTCAGAGATAAAACTAGGCCAAGCCACCCACTGTTTTTATAATCCTAGATAACTGGCTCATCTCACGAACGGGTATCAGGGATTGAAAGAGGAACTAGATAGCACAGAATAGATGGTTTAGCACAAACTCATCCCTGGAACTGGTAGAAAGCACACAGCTCAGATTCTCCTGACAGCACTGAGTCAGCTACACTAATGTCTTTTTTGTTTTGTAGTTGTTTTGTTGTTGTTGTTGTTGTTGCCTTTTTTAAAAAGCATGCCGTGCTGTTATTGTTATTGCTGTTACTAAACTGAGCATTTTGTACACAGGATATATACTGTATGGTGAAAACCATAGATGCAATGTCTGATCACGAGGGACATGCATACTTAAAAGGAAAGAAGAGAAACAGAGACCAGAGACCTCTGTTTTGAAATAAACCAAACACTATGACTGTGTACCATGCACTATGGATTAAATATGATTTATCGCATGTGGCATATTCACAGGAAGTGACAGCAACGACAGATTTTCTCCAGCTCTAACTCATGAGAAAAAAGGCATTCTGTGGATCATGAAAGAAACATTAGATGAGAATCTAGACATGAATCCTGATCCTCTAAAAATACTTACACATCCCCTGCCTCTGTACCTTTGTTCCTGCGTAAAAAGCTCCCTAGGTCTCTCCATTGAAAGCCTAGGGTTCCTTCCAGGCTCAGCTGTAAGCCATGTCCTCTACAACGTATCCCTCATCACTGCATTTCCTCCCTTCCCTGAATTCCAACAGTACCTACTATCTTTACTACCCTTTAGGTCTTCACTTTTTCTACTATTATTTTTCATGTGAATTTATCATAATTCTCCACCTAGATAAATATTTGTTCAAGATGCCTTATGTGCAGATATATGTTACATTTTAGCATGTTACCTAATACGCGGTAGTGCTGGAAATATATTTGCTTATTGATTCTGAAGCTGGCCCTTTGCTTACTCAGGCCTGACTTTTTGATGATCTACTTTTAACTCCCATAATGAGTTACTTTTACTGAAAACAGAAAAACTAAAATCAAAATTAAATCAAATCTTTATTCTGTCACTTTGGACAACGACATTCTGGAAGCATTGGAAAGAAAGAAAAATGTGGTTGTGGAAGGCAAACGGGTTAATTAAAGTTAACTCTTTACAAAAATGGTCAAAATGGCAAATTTTATGTGATATATATTTTACTATAATAAAATAAACTCTTTACAGTTATATATACAATAGACATTCCTCTTTTTATTGACTGATTAGACTAAAAGCAACATAGACAAGTCACCAATATTACAGAATTTGGAAGATAGTGCTTTGATTCCAGAGACAGGTCAAGAAAACAAAAGTATGCTAAATAGTTCAAAAAAGTATGCTATGAAGAATGTGAAGTTCATGCCTGTAATCCCAGTACTTTGGGAGGCCGAGGCGGGTGGATCACGAGGTCAGGAGTTCAAGACCAGCCTGGCCAAGATGGTGAAACCCCGTCTCTACTAAAAATACAAAAATTAGACAGGGGTGGTGGCGCCTATAATCCCAGCTACTCGGGAGGCTGAGGCAGTGAATTGCTTGAACCCAGGAGGCGGAGGTTGCAGTGAGCCAAGATTGCACCACTGCACTCCAGTCTGGGTGACAGAGCGAGACTCCATCTCAAAAACAAAAACAAAAACAAAAACAAAAAACAGTTAAGTTTTGCAGAGAAAACAGCATCCCTCCTTCCTTCAAAAGTAAAGAATGCTCCATAGATCCACTCACTGCCATATTAAAGAGTCCCAAAAACATGATCATGAGAGAACCTTTTCCACACGAATAACTTTTTCTCTTCAATTTATTTATGCCTTTTCAAACATGAAAAAAAATCACACACACACACACACACACAAAAACCCTGGTAACACAGAGAAAATTCTAAGGAATTAAGACTATGAGAGCAAAAGCTGTTTACTAAAATATATTCCCTTCAAATGAGATGTATTTCAATTAATCCATCAAAGCTTGACCATAATCCACACCTACTAAAAATGAAAAAGCTTTGTACCCAAATTTAAAAACATGGCTAAACACAGAAAAAAATATAGTATCCATAGATCGGCTATTTTTTTTTTCTGTATTCCCTATATTGATTCTATCCCCAAAGTAATTTTAATTTATCTCCCAAATGTTTGCTCTGGATCTTTCACAGCAGAAAGTGTGAAAGGTAACGAGAGATGGAGAGCAGTTGGTGTTATTTACACAACGCCACTAGGTACTGAAGAGCAGTAAGTAGAGGACAACATCATGGAAATCTGGGCTACAAATCTGATAGGATCACATTTCTAGAGCAACATCTCTCTTTCGGTAGAGCCACTGAGCTGGGATGGCTTTAAGACACCTGCCTAGGAGAGCCTCATGATGATTTTCAAAGCTCCTCAATCATCACCTTTCAATTCCTCCCATGTTCTTCCAGCAAGATGCTCCATGTTCGTCACCTCTTCCCTTTCTCTTTGGCTTCTCTTACCAAAGCTCTTAAATCGCTGCACCAGGAACACAAACAACGGCTCAAAGGCTGAGTCTAAGCAGTGACATTACACACGTGTTCAACAAAACTTGCCAGTCACAGGCTCTTCTTTCCCTTTATAGAGGTGGGCTTTGTTATTAGTAAAAAGGTAGGTTTGCCTCTTTTTCTGAAGAAAAGCTGTGAGTGGGTTAACTTTCAACTCTGTTATTCATTAGCTGCTGTCTCTAACTCTGAAATGAGCAAACTCTGCAAAAAATATCTTCAATCTGGAGAATATTCTACAATTTACAGAATGTGTCCACCTTCATTACTGTATTCAGTCTCCAGAACAATTCAGCAATATTGGTTATTATCACCTCCATCTAAAGATAAGGGTAGGGGCCAAAAAGAGAGGCAGGGAGCTTGCTCTGGTTCCATGGTTAGAAATGGCAGCTCTGGAGCTAGAACTGAGTTTTTTTGACCCTAAGTCTCCATTTTTTTCTCCTACTACTGTCAGTTCTGCTGTAACATGTCTTTTAAAAGTGCTAATTTGTTCCAACGCAACTGATATGATATGAAAAAATTTGAGCATGACACAAATCTTAGGTTTGCTGATTGCCTGATTTCATTCATGAGAAAAATTAGGGGAACACAGACAACTGCACACAGCTGAACTGCATCAAAACACACATATTTCAAACAGACCTCAGTCCACCATGTGCATTAAGAGCCATAACCATCCACATGTGGTGTTACAACTTTCCCTCCAATTTCAGACAGTGTTCCTTCCACCACTTCACAGTAGCTTCTGAACTGCATCCCTATTAATATCCAACTTCCACAAAAAAACTCTTTCAAGGTAAAGCACCATATTTATTGTAGTATTTATGTATTTTTTAACCATTGAACACATGGCTACCGATTGTATTAAGTTCCTACCTTTTTGTTTTTAGTGTGTCACTGAAAAAGTTTTGAGTATTGTTCCCATAGTCCTGTTTCCCCCATAAGCCTTGTGGTTTCCACTGTGTGGTTTTACAGAGTGCAGTAATTTTCAGGAACATACAAGTTATGGACATCATGGTGAAGAAAAGGAAGTCCAAATCAAGAGTGGAATTCCAAAGTAATTTTCCTACTTGGACACGAGCAAAGAGTTAAGTTCTAGACAAAGAATCAAACATACAAACGGAAAGACAGGTATTACCTTCATGGTTCTACAGAATGATCTTGTCTATACCTCACAACCTACACACAGCAACTTAACTGAGCCATTCTCTGATTAAACCTCAAATGCAGGAGATTCCTCCATTTCCCTGGGTAATCTAAGTTTCTGAACTTTTGTCCTGATAATTTTGTAAAACTTGCTTAAATCATTAAAGTATCAAAAGGTCATTTCTACATGTATGTTTCAAGGAAATGAAGAAAAATCTATATAGATTCTGATTATTCCCTGATAGAAAACCGTGCATGTAAAAGAAGCTATGTACCACCAACATGGAGTCGTTTATTCACTTGGCCCACAAATGTTTACTGAGTAGCTACTACATGCCAAACACTGAACTAGACATGGAAACCAGCACTGAGTCAAATGGACATGGTTCCTGGCTTCATTAGACTTACAGACTAATGGAGACGGCTGGTGCTAAATAAACATCACACAGATAACACAGCAGTATAAATTGATTTTTAATGAAGAGTTTGCTGAAAGGTGAAAGTGATGGAAACTGATTTTGTTTGGTGGGTCAGGAGAAGACCTCTCTGAGAAAGTCACATTGAAACTGAGACCTCTGTGATGACCAGGTGCTACCAGGTGAAGAGAGGGGACCAGCACTCCAGGCACAGGGAGTGGCAAGTGCGAAGCCCTCTGTCGTTTAGGGAGGGAGGAAGAGAAGCCCAGTGTGGCTGGACGCTGGTGAGCCAGGGGACAGGAGTGGCATGGGATGCAGGTGGAAAAGAATAAGGGCTAGACCACATAGGACCATGAACATCACATGACGGATT